TTCACAATATTTTAATGTTATGAAATACCACAATGGCCATTTTACCCTGTGAATAATACCTATCCGTCACAGTGCCGGACTTAGCGACGTCAAAGAGGGACACCTGTAGTGAACATGACGCGAGTTATGATCTGAGCTTTCCTTTTATTTCTTCCTAAGAACATAAAATTGTGAGTAGAAGGGAATATTTTTAAGTTTAAATAATATTATAATTTCTTGATAGTACAATAATACTTGGTATTAAACATTTATGTACGTACTATTTTCTTTTTTTGTGTTTATTAGACACTAGCGACTCACCCTAGCTTCGCTCGGGTTCCGCGGGTTCGGGTGTGAAATAGATTATATATTATATTATTCGTATATACATAGGTATGATGAGTTGTTTTGGGTTGTATTATAACGTGTTTTCCCATAGGAATGAGATTATCTTCCACGGTAAAGTAGCCTATGTCACTCTCCAGCCCTCAAACTATCTTCCCACAAAAAATCACGCCAACTCGTCACTCTGTTTCGACGTGAAAGAAGGACACACAAATAGACATACTTTCACATTTATAATAAAAATAGCAATAAAAAGATATTAGAATAAACTAATTAAAAATATTTAACTCACATATGTAGGTATTTAAATGGACAGAAAGTACTGCAAACATTTTGAAACGATCCATAGGGTGTAAAAATAAAATTAAATATCGATACTAAATGCAAAAATCGATAATAAAGCAAATAAAATTTTTTTTATAAATATTTTATTTTTTTGTTTTGAGAAAGATAGATAATGGTCATGATGGGTAGTTTATTGATTATGAAATTCCTTTAAGAAAAACAGTACTTTATGGATCGAGGTGAAGATGGATGGCTTCAAAAATGTGGCATTAATGTAAAGCAAAAAGTCCTAAAATAATATAAAAACTTTTTACAAAAAAATAAAAACCGACTTCAAACAAATGCACTAAAAAGTAAAAAAATAACTGATTGGTAGTTTTCGTTTACTATACATACCTAATCAAATATTTTCGAAGTCGGTGCGCTTTGGCTAAGTAGTTAAAGCCTACCTATTAAATACATACCTAATCAAATATTTTCAAAATCGGTGCCAGCCCATACAAATCATAGCACACCGACTTGGAAAATATTTGATTAGGTATGTATAGTAAATGAAAACTACCAATCAGTTATTTTTTACTTTTTAGTGCTTTTGTTTGAAGTCGGTTTTTATTTTTTTGTTTAAAAGTTTTTATTTTTCCCTTTTTAGTATAGACAGTAGTAGCAAAGTAAGAATACTAACGTGTTAGGCTTGTCAAATCAAACAAAATAAGCCCAAACTCAAAGTATCTACTATTAGTCGTTGAAGAGTTCCACCTATCCACCTTCTGGCCTTACCATCAGATCAGGTCAACAATACCGAACCACTATACTATCAACGGAAATAGAAACACTTGAAAAGTTTCAAGTCAATGTGACAATTAGAAGTAGGTTACATTCATCATTAGCAATTTTTCCACCCTTAGGGATGGTATTTTTTTTTTAAATTTAAATGGGACCAATCTGAAAGTATATACTTTCAAACAAAACAAAAAATGTCCAAATCGGTTAATAAATGACGGAGTTCTGAGGTAACAAACATAAAAAATACAGATAAAAATACAGCCGAATTGAGAACCTCCTCCTTTTTGAGGAAGTCGGTTGAAAATACTACTAACCAGTGTTAATAGTACTCCATTAATTTAATTTCGCACATTCCTTTTCCTACTACTCCAAGCTCTAGGTTGGCATCAATATCGCTTCTCGATAGCTTTTTCTAACATTTCAGCCAAAATTTTATGCTGAAAGCTACCAATTTTGAATTTTTGTGTTGTATAGTGAAACAGATATACTTTCGGAAATATTACATAACAAAAGAATATACATATCTACACTAATATTATAGGTAAAGAGTTAAAGTTTGTTAGTTTGTATGTCCCCAACATAATAATTCACTACGTAATCTCTGAAACTACTAATCCGATTTTAAAAAATCTTTCACTAACAAGAGAAGCAGAGGAGCTGTATAACCTCCGAGTGCTGTAGGCTGTTTTTTATAACGATAAAATTGTGTTTACTTCCAGAAGTCATGATAATTTTAATTGATGTATATATAAAAATAAACTGTTTCTATCTCTTCGTTAATATTTATGTATATCTACTATCTAGCGACATACCCTCGCTTCGCTCGGGTGCTTCCCTAGGTACTTTTTATTTTTTTTCAAGCGAAACCCTAATTCTCTTTCTGAAATAAAAGTAGCCTAAGTTACTCCTTATAATATCAGCTATCTGCCAGCGAAAGTCCCGTCAAAATCATTCCCGCCGTTTCAGAGATTAGCCGGAACAAACAGACAGACAAACATTTTAAAAATCGTGTTTTTCTTAAAAGTACGTACCGATATAATTTCATATGGATTTAGTAAAAAGCTGTTATTTTGACATTACAAGCGGACACTTCAATTTTATTTATCTGTATAGATGAGAATGGTAAAAATGTTGAAATTAAAGAAACCCCATAACACACAATTCGATGTCTCGTTTTACGCCATTATAAACATTTCGAGGGAAATTTGGAAAAGTTTGATTGTTTTCCCCATTTTGGCAAATCTGTGTTTTATCAGGATCGACTCGTCCTCGTGCATTAAACTCTTAGCGGAGTAGTAAAAAACTTTTTTATTCGAGGGTTCGAAGTTGAGACATAATTTAGGTTAGTAGGAGCGGGTTCTTTAGAGGAAATGTTTATAAGGCGGAGTTTACACTTGTTGCTTAAATGAGAAAATTACTTGTTTTTATTTTATAAATAGCATTGTCTATGGCTACACTTGCATATTTTGGATATTTTTAAAAAGTCTGCTTCTTATGGTCGTAATTAATTCTTTAAAAAAATATTTAAATAGGACTGGTATTTCGTGATGTTGAACAAACTCGCGTATAAAGAAACAAATAAACTCATCAACTATACTATTAGTGTACACTGTCGATATAAATATTATTATTATGATTAAAAAATCTTTATTTAAGCAAGTTTTAATATATTTAATCAGCCTCTTCAAAATATAACGTTTCCATTATATGTAAGAGCGTGTAGAACTGAAAACTCAAGCTAAATATCTCGTAAGTCGATTGAATGATATTAAAGTATATTTTTAATTCAATATATATAAAGTTTTTGTATGTTTTATAATATTTTTGTTATATCTACATGCTTAAACGGCTAGACCGATTTGGATAAAATTTCGTACACAAATCTACATATATACTAACTAATACTGTTAGTTTTAAAAAAAAACTATTAGTTTTAAAATTTACCAAAAGGTCTTGATATCTGTATTTTATAATATTACTAGGGACTCACCCTCGCTTCGCTCGGGCTCATCCCTAGGTTGATTGCCGATACAAATTTTCATCCCCATTTTCACCCCCTTAAGGGATGATTTCCGGGATATAAAGTATCCTATGTCCTTTCCAGAGTCTCAAACTAACTTCTTACTAAATTTCATCTAAATCGGTTTAGTAGATCCAGAGTTTACCCCCTACAGCTTTAATTTACCTCTTTATAATATTAGTATAGATGATTAGAATGTTAGCTTTCTTATAATATAAAAAGAATAAGCTATACACGGTGTATCCTCTTCCTTATGCATAAAAAGAAGAAATTCCAGGAAATCAATAGATCATCGTAAATTTCGCGAAGTGCGCTCACTCGGCTGTTTATCCACGTGGAAAAAATTATGAACGATAGCCCCAAAGTTCGTAGAAAACGACTTTTTAATGACCCATCGACCCTAATAACATTTTTATTTTGATTGCGTATAAAATTTGCAACTTTTATCTTTAAAGCTTTTTGATATAGCTTAGTGTATAATATATATGTACATATATATGGCACTCCACTACTTACCTACGTCGTTTTTTAATTTGCTTAGAAGTAAATAATTTTATATAAGTACATTTAAACTAAGCGTAGATTTGCTAAAGATATTCAAAGAGAGGAAAAAATACATCCTTTTTTAATGGCAATGGTAATAATTATACAAAATTAATTTGTTTTAATTATATGAGGCCTCACAATATTCTTATTTTATATATCACCAAATATAAAAACAATACGTAATTTTTACTAATCTAAGTTTGATTTTGATACAACAAAATATCTACCTAATATATAATATATAATTTGACCAAAACTTCTTTTGTAACTCTCTCTTTTAAAATATATGAATATACATATTTTATTGAAGTTGCTGGAAAAGGCACCTATGGTTAGTGTAGTAATATTAAGATATAAAGGTGTGGGTATAATATAAATAAATCAGTCGGCAACTAGCATGTGTCGTTTTACTACATGGTGGCAGCGGTGGGATATTTAATAAAAGATTTCTCAAGTATAGAAGTTATTAAAACAAAATAAGTAACGATAAAAGTGATAAAAGGAAGTTTTACTATTAAAATAAATTATGGAACACGCTCGGCCGCCAACGGAGTTGCAGATAGAAGGCAGTCCCGCCGCACGCGCTGACGCGTGGTTAAGATGGTGGAAGCAATTCGAAATATTTCTTAAGGCGTCAGGTGTAGTAAAAGAGCCGTCAGATGTAAAGGCTAGCTTACTCGTGAATCTCATAGGCCCGGACGGATACGAAATATTTTCGACTTTTACATACAACAAAGGTGAAAGTGCAGATGATTTGACATGCTTGAAAAATAAATTCGACTTGCATTTTGGGACGAAATCTAATGTGACTATGTTAAGATTTAAGTTCTTTACGCGCAATCAAATCGAAGGCGAAACAATTAACAAATACGTCACAGCCTTGAAAGTGCTGAGTCACGGCTGTAAGTTCGAGCATCTTACGGATGATTTAATTAAAGATCGCATTGTATGTGGAATTTCAAACAATGTCGTTCGCGATCGGCTTCTTCGAACCGATGAGTTAACCTTGGCGAAGGCTATACAAATTTGTGAAGCGGATGAAATGTCGAGGCATGAAAGTAAACAGATAGAAGAGGCATCTTCCAGTACTCAAATCGATGAAGTCGCGGGCTGTGGTAATAGTAAAAGTATGCGAGATAAGGAGCGCGACGCCAGCATGGCATGGCGGGCGCGTCCACGTAACAGCTGGCGCAACGGCGAGGCAGCAGCAGGGCTAGTGCGTGGCGGTGGTCGTGTTCCCGGCGAATTTCGTGGATGTAGGCGTTGCGGCAAGGAGTTTTGTGACGGTAAACAAAGGTGTATAGCGAAGCAGGCAGAGTGTTATTCTTGCAAAGGTCGAGGTCATTTTGCTCGAATGTGCAAAAAGGTGACAAAACGTGTGCATAACTTGAGTGTGAGTTCCGAAGAATCCAATAGTGATATAATTTATATTAATATGATAAATTGCAGCAAGAGGTGTGAAGAGTCTCGTGAGTGGTTTGATAATTTATATTGTAATGGTAAGAAATTAACTTTTAAATTAGATACAGGATCAATGTTAAATGTATTATCAAAATGGGATTACGAGTATTTGGGTTTTAGTTGTCAAAAACTTAGTGTTTACAATGGTCGTGTAAGTTCTTATACCGGTAATGTCGTACCGATTATAGGGCAGTGTAACTTGTCTATTATATACAAGCAAAATGAGTACAATTTAAACTTTGTTGTTTGTGATATGAATTGTCAAAATATATTAGGATTGAATGCATGTGTAAAAATGGGTTTAATAAAACGAGTAGATTCTCTCAATATTGATAAAGATTTTTCTGTATTATTTTCTGGTTTAGGTAAGTTGCCAGGGATGCATAAAATAATAATTGATAAGGCGGTACAGCCTAGTATATGTCCAGCACGGAAAATACCTCATGGGCTTAGAGATAAGTTATTTAACGAATTAAAACGTATGGAAAATTTAGAGGTCATTCGTAAAGTTCAGCATCCGACTGAATGGGTCAATGCTATTGTTTTAGTAGCGAAAAAAAACGGTGAGTTACGTGTATGCTTAGATCCGCGACCGTTAAATAATGCAATAAAGCGGACGCATTACACTTTGCCTACTGTGCCCGAGCTGGCGGCGAGACTGAGCGGCGCGTGCTACTTTAGTGTGCTGGATGCGCGCTGCGGCTTCTGGATGCTGCAGCTGGACGACGCCAGTGCGGATCTTTGTACATTTAGTACACCTTTTGGCAGGTATCAATTCTTGCGTTTACCATATGGCATAAGCTGTGCACCCGAACTGTTTCACTCGAAAGTGAGGCAGCATTTAGAGGACTTAGATGGTGTTTGACTCATTTATTGATGATATTATTGTATGGGGAAGAACTCGGAAAGAACATGATGTACGCTTGAGACGATTATTAGAAAGAGCAAGAGATATTGGCTTGCGGTTTAATAAAGAAAAGTGCAAATTCGGTGTAGAAGAAATTACGTACTTGGGTCACGTGTTTGATAAACATAGTATGAGACCAGATAAAAATAAAATAAAAGCGATTTTGGATATGCCTGTTCCAACGGATAGAAAATCTCTAGAACGATTTTTAGGTATGGTTAATTATCTTTCAAAATTTATTCCTAATTATTCTGAATCAGTAGCTATTCTAAGGGGGTTGTTAAGAAAAAATATAGAATGGATATGGGAATCAATGCACTCAAAAGCAGTAGAATTACTTAAAAGTAAAATAGCAACAGCCCCAGTTTTAGCACTTTATTCTACTGATCTACCTATTGTGCTATCGGTGGACGCGAGCTCAGAGGCGCTGGGCGCAGTGTTGCTGCAGGATGGTCGTCCGGTCGAGTTTGCTTCGCTCACGCTTACTGATACGCAACGACGATATGCTCAAATCGAGAAGGAAATGTTGGCTATTGTTTTCGCATGTGAACGTTTTCATCAGTATATTTATGGTAGGTGTGATGTTACTATACATACGGATCATAAGCCACTAGAATCAATTTTTAAAAAATCCTTGTCCTCGGTACCTGCGAGGTTACAGCGTATGTTGTTACGGATACAGCATTATGATGTTAATGTTATCTATACTCCGGGAAAATATATGTATATCGCAGATACACTATCCCGCGCACCCTTATCAGATTATAATACGTATGACCGCTTAAACCGTGATTTAGAAGCACAAACATGTTTTTTTAATTAATAATTTTCAATTTAGCGATAAAAAATTGGATTTATTGCGGGAACATATAGCAAAAGATAAACAATGTCAGGATCTGTGTGCTTACATTATGAAAGGATGGCCTAAAAATAAATATAAATAAAAAAACGACACTCAGAATATTTTGGTCTTATCGCGAAAGCTTACACTATATCAACGGTTTGATCGTAAAAGAAAAATTTATTGTATATTCCTGCTAGTTTGCGAGGTGAAATGTTAAATAGGATACACGAAGGCCATCTCGGTATAGAACGTTGTAAGCGGCGGGCGCGGCAAGTGATGTTTTGGCCAGGTATGTCTCGGGACATCGAGCGCGCTGTACGTGATTGCGCGACTTGTACCCGTCACGTACAGATGCCGCGGCGCGAACCTATGATTCCGCACAGTATTCCTGATATACCTTGGATTAAATTAGGATCTGATATATTTGAATATAAAAATAAATATTATCTTATTTTGGTTGATTATTTTTCAAATTTCATTGAAGTTAATGAATTAAATTCAATTAATAGTAAATCAGTTATAAAAGCGATGAAAGAACAATTTTCAAGATACGGAATCCCTATGGAATTAGTGACGGATAATGGTCCCGCGTACGCGTCTAACGAATTTAAGCAATTTATTTGTGATTGGGATATTAAACATACAAAAACCTCTCCTTTTTATGCGCAAAGTAATGGCAAAAGTGAGCGAGCCGTACGTACAGTGAAAAATTTACTAAAAAAATGTTCCGATTCAGGAGATGATTATTATTTAAGTATGTTGAATTTTAGGTCGACGCCTCGGGAAAAGGTTGTTTCACCTGCCGAAATTCTAATGGGAAGAAAATTAAACACACGTTTACCCATTTACCATAAAGCATTAGACGTACCAGTTGACCGTGAAAGAAATCATCGGGCTATGCTTAAACAACAAGAAAAGCAAAAGTATAATTATGATAAAACAACAAAATGTCTCCCGGTCCTGCATAATAACGACAAAGTTGTCATGGTCGACGGTAAGCAGCGTAAACTTGTAAAAGTTTTGCATCAGGCAGTTGAACCCAGATCATACATTGTAGAAGATGAAGCTGGACGTAAATATAGGCGAAATAGGCGTCATCTAGTGCGCAGACGGGCACAAGCAAAACATGACATCATACAGTCGGGTGACACGGCGTTAACTTCGGACAAAGCGAGCGTAGTAGGCAAAGGTGAGCCATTTAAAGAGGGCTGTACAAGTAAATTAATTTCAGAACAGAATAGCGATTCTAAGCATGCACGTAGTAGCCCTCCAAAAAATATTTATGGGCCTATTACAAGAAGGCAAGCTAAATTATTATTAAAAAACGAGAATAATATGTACTAATATGGATTGTTACTATGTTTATTATATATTTTTTTTGTTATATTTATATTGTATATCTCGATAAAATTTATTAATATACATACATAAGTAGTAGCATTAAAGGAAATTACAAAAATACTTATTATGTACATTGTATGTATAGATGCAAAAGATTTTAGAAAAAACAAAGATTTTATTTAGCCTTGTCATTATCAGTGTAGGTATACGATTTATATGGTTTATATTGTTAAAAATAATAATAATATAGGTATATAGTACATTAAAAAAAATACTTCATTGTTTTTGTTATTGTAGATTTTTGCTATTTTGTATATTTCTATTTTTCATAAGTATAACTTTCTCATTGAAGGGGAAGATGTAGTAATATTAAGATATAAAGGTGTGGGTATAATATAAATAAATCAGTCGGCAACTAGCATGTGTCGTTTTACTACAGTTAGTACAAATACATACATAGGTATACCTATGGAGGTAACTAAATCTTAGCGTCCAGATACACTCGTTTTTATACTTGAAGTTACATACATCATATTTGATATTTTGATATTATATTGTTTATACTACGTAAATTTATGTATTTACTGTTAACTAACTTTGCTAAGCGTACTAAATAAGAAAATCTGCATTGTACATGTATGATATAACATATAAAAAAATAAAATAAAATTTGTCACGAGCAAGATTCGAACCTATCATTAAGTTAATAATATAAGTTTAACACAAACGTTTGACTACGACGTAATAAAATTCTCGTAAATTCTAACGCCTTTTTACACTTTAATTAACTAATTTATGTTTATGATGGCTGGTAATGAGTAAATTTGCTTTAAATGTTTTCTTATAGCCCACTCAAGAAACGCAAAGTATTATTTGTTCTTTATTACAATTGTAAAGCTAATAGCCATTGAAAAGCCAAAAAAAAACATTTATTATTGACCTAACTGACCCTATCTTACCACTTCGTACAGTTGACATAAAATTACGAAGGGAGATATCACAGCAAAAATTTCAATTAATATTAAAAATACTGTCAAAAGAAATAAATATGTAAATTGGTGCTTGATCAATTTGCTTTTCCTATTGTATTCAAACTCAAAAGATTCTGGGATCTCCAAGGACAATTTCCATGGTGCGCTAAATAAATAACAAATATTATGATGGGCCCCATAAAATATTATACGGTGAGGCCTATAAGTCTCCGTTGTGAAACGAAAGGAGCGCCAATAAGCGAGCATTATTAATAGAATCCTTTATTTGTAGAGACATTGGTGTGCGGCCTTTGTTATTAGGGTTGCCAATTAACAGAAATTAAATTATTATTTTTATTTTGTGGCATCGATAATCGATATTTTTTTTGCAATATAGCTTGAATGTGAGAGGGGCTGCCTTTTACAGAAGATTTTTTGAATTCGATATTTACTCTTATATTATTTTTGTAATATCATTTGCCCCCTGGTGTCGAATGAAACTGACCATGCATGTAATTTAGGATTGTTCACCTAAATAGTAGTATTAAGGTTTTGTAACACGAATTTAACTGCCTCCTAATATCGAAGATTACTTATTAAATTTCCGCATGGGGAGTGTTTTATCGGAACATATAGATTTCACATAGAATACGGTTTTGGTATAGAACAATCGCCATGCTACGTGAAACGTACGGCTATGGCTTAAAACGGGCGACGATTTTTATAAAGCAGCCATGAGGAGTGCTGACAGAAGTGAAAGCTTAAAAATATAAACAAACAGATGTTACATTCGGATATTCAAATTAATAGTTTGTCCTTAAATTAAAATTTGTAAATTAAAACTGTTGTACATTTATCTGCTTTTGACATCTATCGGCACTCTGAGTATCTAACAAGAATTTACTTCCCATCCAAACCTGCCTATAGAAGTTTCCACTTCAAAAAAACTTCTTCATTAAAGGAAACGTTTTAGTTATAATTAATAATCAAATATTCAATAGCCACCCCTAGTTACATGACTCCAAAACAGGCCCGGGGCGTTCTTAATGCTTTAATGAGTTTTTTGCTAAAGTGTGCGTAGCCCAACCTCCCCGGGATGTGCGCAGCAGATTTATGTTACGGTGCAGACGCGACATCCCACTAAATCTTCGCATTTTCTTTTATAACCTTCAATGTACTACAGCCTACGATCGCCTTATTTCAAAGTGACTAAAACCATACGAAACATGGATGTTTGTTGAATTTCAAAACTTACTCGTATACTTATAATATAAGTGTTAAATTTTAACGATACATTATAAAATTTTCACTCTTATATTGTATTAAAAAAAATACAAACCAATGGTAATGAAATTATGAAAAGACGTAACCCATGACATGGAATAGATTTATGATTTTTATTAATCGATTATTTTCATTTTTTACGTGTCCTTAATGTCTTTTTTTATATATTAGGTATATTTAAATCAAGTGTATAAATATAAAATAAATAAGTTAATTTAAATAAAATATCTTTTAGGATTTTATCGCGGATTTATTTAGATTTTTGGTTCCCGACGTTTCAAATGCTTTATAGCAATCATGGGAGAGACTGGTCTGACCATGTTGAAAAAATAACTTTATTTAAAACTAGCGACTCACCCTCGCTCCGCTCGGGTTCGTCCCTAGTTATGGTTTAATGTTTAGCATAAATTTCTCAGAGATGAGATATTTTCCCGCAGTAAAATATATCCTATATGTTGACCGAATTTCATCAAAATCTGTCCAGTGGTTTTCTCGTGATGCGGGAACAGACAGACAGATGGACAGACAGACAGACAAAAATTCTAAAAACTATAGATTCGGCTTTTGTATCCAATAATAATGTCTATTTCAATAAGATTTTCCAAAAAATATTTAATGTACAGATTCGGCTTAGTTACAATTTTATTACATGTATAGATGTTAAATAATCGTGTAAGTCTAAGAAAATATTAAGTTACGAGTAATTTATTTTATTTAAAAAAAACTCAACGCTTTTTTAATATATTATTATTGTTTATTATAAACATTTAATCATCTATATTTTACACCCACAAGTACACCCGTATATGACCCAATCAATTTCCACTTGATACCTCTCAAAAAAAGGGGTTTCTTATAGTGAAACAAACAGATCGATGGTAGATTTTATCCTTCGAGGTATAGAACCCCAAAAAATTAAAAAATGTTTACTTATTTAGGTCCACTCTTATATTGAGAGCGTCTATAAGAAGGTTTTAATATATATATTTTTTAATTTTAACATCCATATATTTTTTAATCTCTATGAACATTTACTATTCTTGTATCATATCTGCTTGTATTTACTTTAAACATATTATTTACTAGCGACTTACCCTTACTTCGCTCGGGTGCGTCCCTAGGTATGATTTTGTTCGCCATTTTCTTGGGTTTTATTTTTCTACGCGGAACTCTGATTCTTTTTCAAAAATAGAAGTAGCCTCAGTTACTCCTTATAACATCAGCTATCTGCCAGTGAAAGTCCCGTCAAAATCGTTTCAACAGTTTCGGAGATTAGCTGGAACAAACAGACAGACAGAAAAAATAAGAAATTGTTCTTTTCTTATTAGTACCGTATATACTTTCATATGCATTTAGTAAAAAGCTATTATTTTGACATTACAGACAGACATTTCAATGTTATTTATCTGTATAGATGAGCCGAGTAGTACCAAACGAAACAAGATTCATATCCACATTTACATATGAACATGAATCTTAACACTGACAGTTCTACTATTCTATATTGCTATCTTTTTACATCGCTGTTGCAGTCATTGTTCGACGTCCGATGTCGGTAAATTACAGTGTTTAGTGCGGGGGAGCTTTGCGAAATTTATTTCGCTCAATCCCAAGGATTTGCTGCCAACTTGTTGGAAATAATTAAATTCGCCCCTTCAATTTTCCTAATTTATTTATTGACGAAAGTTTTATTGGTCTACTTAGTACTTAGTTTGTTTGTAGGTATGTACCGTCATTTCGTGTTTATTTATTTATTATTTGTTACAGAACAATTATCAAAATAGTCAGATTTGCATAAAACTACTGTACTTTTATATTGATACACTAGCGGCTTACCTTCGCTTCGCTCGGGTTGATCCCTAGCTTGCTACCCAATACAATTTTTCATCCCCATTTTCACCTCATTAAGGGATGATTTGCGGAATAAAAAGTATTCTATGTCCTTTCCAGGGTCTCAAACTATCTTCTTACCAAATTTTATATAAATCGGTTGAGTATATCCAGAGATTACCGCTTTCAAACAAACAAACAAACAAACAAACAAACAAACAAACAAACAAACAAATAAACAAGCAAACAAACTGTGCCTCTTTATAATATTAGTATATTTATAGGCATGTATGAATATGTTGTAAAAGAAGCTACCGATATGATGATATTGGTAAATTATGTTCAAAAACTTTGTTTAAACGCTTTAGTCTCTAAATGTACTGGTCCGATTACCTTTATATTTATAAGGCTAGCTTATATCACACTACGAGCTACGAGAGCGTAGTATGCAGAGCCACGAGAAATCACTAGCACATATGTAATCAATATATTATAGGCTTAGCAAAAGGATATGACATATTAAATAATGTGGAAACCTTGCCTTGACCCTAATAGAACCACATCGTAAATCAACGATAGCTTTATTCACGAGTCATTTACTCACATTTGCTTAGTGAATAGTAATATTTAAGAAACTAGTAGGTATTTGCCCACAGTTTTTTGTGGATATTGATGGAGAAATTGGTATATAGATATATTACAATTAGTGATAACCCAGTGGTTACACGCTCGCTTCGCGCAGGGAAACCGAGTGAAACGGGTTCAATCCCGGTTTAAAAAGCTTGTAATATAATAAGTAATATAATAAGCAGAGTACTGCAAGAAATGTATAAAAGTACCACGAAAATCAAATCACTGTTTAAAAAATATTTTTTACAAAAACAAACCGAATAAACTGAATGACTCTCTGTACCC